GTTCAGCATAATTGTGCAAGTTTAAAAAAATGCAAGAAATAAACTGCCGCTTAATTGCGAACCGTAAAGAAATAGATTTCTTCAATGAATAAATATCATATTCGTAGAAACGACAGTTACGTACAGTCGTCGCGTTATGTATTGACCGGATTGACATTTAAAAATAAAGCTGAAAAACAAGCACAGTTCTGCCAACCAAACAATGATGTTGCCATTTTTGTTGGTGTCTTTAATTTACTAAATGTGGAATGGTCGATGTGGAATGCGATGATGACAGCATTTTGGTTCCAACATTATTTGAACCCGAGTCATCTGCCACTTTTACTCATGAACATGGGAGTCCACCAGGTAAAACATGTCCTAGGGGGTAAGAACACAAGCGCTTGAGACGAATCCGTACGAATATTTGTGAATTCGTGTGATTGTGTATACGAAACATTCGCAGCGCAGTGAGTGTACAACAACAATAACAAAGCCACGAACGTATGAATATACAGACGTGTGCAAGGTCAAAAATTCTAGAGGGGGGTAAAATGATTTTGCCAGATGGGGGGTAAAATTTATAAATGGGTGTCAAAAAAAATGAAGACCGCTCGATGGGGGTCTCACATTTTGGAATCCTAGAGGGGGGAGGTAAAACCGGTGACGATTACGATGTGACAGTTATACGGTATAACTTCTACCACAAATTACTTTTATACTAAAAGTAATAATTTGTTGTTCAAAAATTACTTACATATTATGTTCATTTTTCTACTTATTTATTTGGTGTATTTTGATTGATTTGATTTGTAGCATTTAGAATAATTCAATTTATTCGAAATTTCGATTTGTAAATCAATTGATTTAAATTATTATTGAAAACAGAGGATATGGATAAATTTCGAAATTCTTTCAAAATTTCAAATTTTTCACTTTGTATATACCCATGTGATCAAAATTTACCCGGACTGGTGAGTTTTTTCTGCTTCTGTAAATCCAATCGAGTAATACCAACTCACGTTATTTTGGTACATCCTTAAGAGACTCACAAGCCAAATTTGAGCCCGATATGTCAACTAGTTTTTGTTTGGCAGCTCTTTGTTTACGACTCCAAGAAGAAGTTCGGCGATTTTTTGAAAAAATCTAATTAATAAGACACATTTCAGACGGTGTTTTGGTGAAAAATATCGATCAAATCATATTGCTGTCTTCAGCAAAGTTGTTAGGCATTGAATTTGAGATAATTTAAGCACCATAAGACATAAAACTATTTCACCGCTTGAACGGTATGATCACAAAATGAATAAAAAGTTCAAAAACGACATTTTTCGGGATTTTTGGACAATTTTCTTCAATGAAAATATTTTTTGAAAGTCTTAGTATTGCTAAAACTATGAATTAGCATGTCTTCCAACTATTTGGTATGAAAAACATAAAATTAAGTTTTAATTTTTATGTTTTACGGGCGAAAATAAAAAGTAACAAATAATTTCATTTTTGTGCCTGACAGCAACCGTCGGAAAAATTGATTTTTTGGATTGAAATCGGTCAAATAGCATCCAATTTCGTTTATAGATGTTTTTATCTGATCTCTACTAGCACTTTGAACACTAAACTCCAATCATACACAGTGTTGCATACAATTTTTGATCGATTTTAGAACTAAAAAAAAATCGCCGAACTCCTTCTTGGAGTCGTAAACAAAGAGCTGCCAAACAAAAACTAGTTGACATATCGGGCTCAAATTTGGCTTGTGAGTCTCTTAAGGATGTACCAACATAACGTGAGTTGGTATTACTCGATTGGATTTACAGAAGCAGAAAAAACTCACCAGTCCGGGTCAAATTTGATCACATGGTAAAATCGGACATAGACAAATCACCTTATAAAGATTCTTGGCGATCTTACATTAATCTAATTTATGATGACAAATTAATTTCAAAAATTACCCACCCATCCTTTGTGAAAGTAATGCGTCGAGAAACATATATTCTTCTATTGATTTGGTCTTGAATCGGTGTTTTATAAAAAAATGCACTGTTCTACCTCTTTTGTCCGAAAAATAGTGCCACAAATTTCGATTTTTGCATATCGTCTTTTTTCAAAAGTGTTTTAAATCAATTGATTTATAAATCGAAAATTCAAATGAATTGATTTGTTCTAATTGCTACAAAAATTAAAAATCGGAAAATTCAGGTACGTCCCATTTGTCGAATTTCACCTCTAAAATAGCAAAATTTGTATTAGAGGTACCTTTATTTCTTAACCGATGGACTTCAAACTTGGTAAGATTTCATTTTTTGCTCAAAAAGTAAGACTCGTGAAATTTGAAGTCAATCGGTTAAGACTAGGGGAATTTCTTATCGAAAATAGTTTTGAAATCTTTCAAAATCTTCCACAGTTTCTGAAATCTACGTAGTTTTGCCCAAATTTAGAAAATCCATGCATATTTAGTGTTAAAAACAAGACAGCTCAGGCGAGATCACCCGACGCCATCTTGGATTTCACAAAATCCGCCATCTTGAAATCTCAAAAAATTTATAAAATCTATACAAATCCACATAGTTTCGATAACTTCCACATCTTCACAGTTTCAAACATCTTCGAAAATCTTCACAGTTTTTACGTGAGAAATTCCCCTAGGGTTAAGAAATAAAGGTAAGGTACCTCTCATAAAAATTTTGCTATTTTAAGCCTAGTTTACACACGGAAAATCGCGTTTACACTCAAAATTTCCCGCCGGGATTTTGCATGTTCCATTTAAAATGCACAGGTAAAATTTTCCGCCGGATTTTTTTTTTCCGTCGGGAAATCGTGAATTCACCACAAGCAAAATCCCGGCGGAAAGAATTCTCAGAGATTTCTTTCCGTCGGAATTTTTCGTTGTGTTGGCATATTTTCGAAATTTTATGTGTCTAGGTGTGATTGAAGAAAAATTGAATGAAGAAATTATTATTGAATACAATTTAAAAAATGAATTTCATAAAAACTGGTGTGCTGGCTTTGAAATGCACACTTGATCTCCAAATTATTGAAAAAATGTATCAAGTCTCAAATTGTCAGCGTAGAACTTGGCTTCGTTTTCAAATATGAGTTTGGTTCGAGTCACATTCAATTTCTTTGGATGTATGATTTATACAATGAACTGGGCTGGATCGATTTCTTTTTATTTCAGCTTGAAAAACGATTTATGTTTTCTGCTGTTGATTGTTGTTTCAAGAAATGTTATGTTTTCTCGATCCATCCTACCAGACAATATATTGAGATAATATCAGCTGGCTATCTGAACGCTTTGGAGCTGATTCAGTCGCTAAATTCTATGCGTTACGTTTTTTCAACGCATTTGCAGTATAAAATGTTGGAATAATTACATTCGTAATCCCATACTTTTCCGTACACTTATCCGTGCTTTTTTCCATAATTTGGACAAAAAAGCATACTTTTAGTGAAAAATTGGTCATTTTAGTTTTAATTTCAATAACTTTGTATGGAAGGTACCTATAAATCTATTCCAATTGGCTTCATATTTTCTGAGTTTTCATTTTTTGGCGAAAAAATAAGATTCTAAAAGTTTGAAGTTAATTGGAATCCATTTACATGTACCTTCTATTCAAAAAAAATTTCAAGGAAAATACGACAAAATTCTAAAACCAAAAACCAAAGTTGTGCAAATGAACGATGAACGTGAAACTTTCAGAATCTTATTTTTTTCCAAAAAATTCCCCACATCAAAAATAAAATACCCAACGACACAATTGTCGCTGTTGTATCGATGGAATTCATTGTTTTTTTTTCGAAAAATGTTCAAACTTCATGATTTTCTGAAGTTTTCACTGATGAAATTTCACTGACACAATGTGCTTTGCAAAATCCGTTGTGTAAATTGGCTGTCAAATTCGTGTAAACCCACTCACGGATTTTTTCCGCCGGGATTTTTCCGTTCACCACAAAAAAGATTCCGACGGAAAATCTACTAAAAATCCGGCGGAATATTTTCCGAAGTGTAAACTAGGCTTTAGAGGTGAAATTCGACAAATTTGTGTGAAAAAACCTGAATTTTCCATCTGATCGGCTTGAAATTCAGCATGGTATCGGATTTTGATAAGAAAAAAGATTCCCAAAGTTTCATGAGTCATGAATCATGACCACTAGATTTCCGGAACATGATTATTGAATTGCGTTTAATTTGGATTTTTCATGATTTTCAACGTTCGCCAGCGCTTGTGTACAGCGGTTACTTATTTGTTAGTGGTCATACGATAGATCTGACTATGGCTTAATTTATCTAAATTCGATGCTCTTTATGATAAAACTTTGAAACTGGCAAAAATCATTCCCAATTTTGGGTATATTCAATTCGGTAGCTGGTGAAGTCGACTAGTTTCAATGTTCACACTTCACATTTATCGATTATAAAATTGTAACCACTGCACCGATTCTAATGATCTATAGTGCATCTGGAAGGTACTTCCTTCCACTATTCATAGCCACTAGCATTTGCCACATTTTTGGTGCTAGCTAGTCTACGAAAAAAGTTACGGCCCTAGATGTGCACAAAGAACATTGATTTTTGGAAAAAACCTTAGAAAAACCAAAATGCACTAAGTCGTACCGTGACCCTGAGTAACGAAATATGGTTTTGAGATCGGGGAAAGGTCCCCTTCAACGTGGTATGCTCACTTTTGCTCGCATAAAAACGCTGTTTATTAGAATAATTCCGCCTCTCTGATCGTCTGTACAAATAGATAGGAAACGTCAAAAAAGAACAATAAAGCGGCACCTGGCGACCGGTTGGAGGTGCCCCCCAGGTGCCGCTGTATTGTTTACTATTTTCATGATCAGAAAGGCTGGAATAATTATTCTAATACAAAATTGAACGTGATTCAAAATAGATTTTCTCTTAGGATGAAAAGAAAAATCACGCATTTTTATTAATTTATTAACTGAATTGTTTAATCCCAGCCTTATTCATGTCTTGTGCCTTTAGTATGTCAGTATGTTTCAACAATGAAAAACAATTTTTTAACAACTTAAATTTTATTCCATATCAGAACTACATAAGAGAAATAACTGTGAGGAATTTGGTGATTTTTTTATTTCTCAGTTTTTATCTTCTTTCTTCTGTTCGCTATTTGTATTGTCTTCTGTTGATTGTGAAGACGATGACGATTCTCGTTCGGATGCCATTTTTTTATATGCCAACTCAAAAAGTTTCAATGATGCCTGTTGTAAAGAACTGGTTGCTTTTTTAATTTCTTCTGGATCAGAATTGTCCTTATTTGCCAACAACTCTTTAACTTTTGATATTTCTTCTCGTAATTTGTCACACTGAAAAAATCATTTCGAAGAGTTTGAATTAATATCAACACAATGCAAAATATATAGTAAGTAACATTGTAAAATTCTATTCGTGAGACGTAAAAGAATGTATGCTTTTTTCTCGATTTATATTTTTGAAAAGGAAAGTATGTTTTTTGTTGATTCTATCTCTCTTGTTCTATCTGCGTTAAAAGAAAGTATATTAGTATGCCATCTAGCCTCCGCGGTTTTGCACGGTTTCCGCAGAACTGATAAACGATAACAACATGATGTTTTCAGCAAATTTGTAGTACTTGAGGTCCTCTATAACATTGCTGGAGACAGCTATTTCTTATCTCTTATGAGTTGCGCGCAAATTGCAAATAAATAAAAAAGCAAATTTTGTATAGAATTTTTTTTTCTTATCATTTTTCGCGCTTCCCGTGGAACTGATAAGAGATAACTGACTGCAGCAATCTTATAGGAGACCTCGTACTACAACTTTGCTGAAGACACCAAGTTTTTATCTCTTATCAGTTCCGCGGAAACCGTGAAAAACCGCGACGAAAACGCGTTGGCTAAAAACGAACATACATTCTTTTAACCATTATTAGTGCAATCAAACATACTTTTCTTCATTGCTACGAAGTTATACAAACTTGCGTTCTTTTAAGTCTCACTAATAGAATTGTAATTACCTCTTCTTGTGGCAATTGAGCTTTATATTCGTCCATTTTGATTTCAGTGTCGTGAACTATACCTTCAGCTTGATTAATTGCTTCCACACGTTCCTTTTTGACTTTATCAGCTTGCGCATATTGTTCAGCGTTTTTAACCATGTTTTCGATTTCATCTTTACTTAAACCACCCGACGACTGAATGACAATCTGTTGTTCTTTTCCAGTTCCTTTATCTCTAGCTGACACGTGTACAATACCATTGGCATCAATATCGAAAACCACTTCGATTTGAGGAACACCACGTGGTGCTGGTGGAATTCCAACCAAAGTGAATTCTCCCAAAAGTTTGTTATCAGCCGCCATTTCACGTTCACCCTGATGAACTTTGATTTGAACTTGTGTTTGTCCATCAGCTGCGGTTGAAAATACTTGTGATTTTTTCGTTGGAATGGTTGTATTGCGTGATATTAAACGTGTGAAAACACCTCCAAGTGTTTCGATACCCAACGACAGAGGTGTTACATCCAGAAGGAGGACATCTGTTACATCACCAGCCAAAACACCTCCTTGAACAGCAGCACCAACTGCAACAGCTTCATCTGGATTTACTGATCGGGATGGTTGCTTTCCGAAAATGTCTTGAACTGTTGATTGGACCTTTGGCATTCGTGTCATTCCACCAACAAGTAACACTTCTCCAATATCGGACTTTTTTACCTCAGCATCAGACAGTGCTTTCTGACAAGGAGATATAGTGCGCTTGATCAAATCAGCAACCAAAGATTCCAATTTTGCACGAGTGAATTTCAAATTCATATGCTTAGGCCCGGATGCGTCCATTGTCAAGTATGGTAAATTTATATCAGTTTGCATCGAAGATGATAGTTCAATTTTAGATTTTTCAGCAGCCTCTTTCAAACGTTGCAATGCCATTGGATCTTTAGTGATGTCAATACCTTGCTCTTTCTTAAACTCACTGACCAAATAATTTACGATTGTATTATCAAAATCTTCACCGCCGAGTAATGTATCTCCATTTGTGGACTTGACCTCGAACACGCCTTTTTGAATTTCTAAAATTGAAACATCGAATGTACCTCCACCTAAGTCGTACACAGCAATACTGAAAATATCCAATAAAAAAAATACCAAGTGTTATTAATGAAGAGCTTCAGGAAAAATGAGTTATACACAAGTTCATACATTTTGTCCTCAGCTTTGTCCATACCATAGGCAAGAGCCGCAGCGGTTGGTTCGTTAATTACACGAAGCACATTTAATCCAGCTATTTGTCCTGCATCTTTAGTAGCTTGTCGTTGTGAGTCGTTGAAATAGGCTGGCACTGTAACAACGGCATTCTTTACTGGTGTATTCAAATATGCTTCCGCTGTTTCTTTCATTTTCATCAATACAAAAGCACCAATTTGACTTGGTGAATAGACTTTTCCATCTGAGCCTTGAACCCAAGCGTCCCCATTTGAAGCACGTGTTATTTTGTAAGAGAAATTTTTCATGTCTTTCTTTATTTCGGGGTCATCAAAACGACGTCCAATCAAACGTTTTGTGGCATAAAATGTGTTTGCCGAATTTGTGACAGCTTGTCGTTTAGCAGGCATGCCCACTAAACGCTCTCCTTCTTTTGTGAATGCAACATGTGATGGAGTCGTTCGAGCTCCTTCTGAATTCTCAATTACTTTAGCCTGCTTTCCCTCCATAACAGCCACGCACGAATTGGTTGTCCCCAAATCGATACCAATCACGGCTCCCTTAACTGTGTCAGATCTGAAAAAATTATTTTTATTTTGGTAGACCATATTTATCCTACGGTTTTCTTATATGAATTGGTTTCTTTGAAAAAATGATCGAATGAATAAGAAAAGATAGTTTTGATTAAATTTTGAAATACACGTTCTTTTGTAAATAAATATACTAACTCAACCGTGCTTTGAAAATATTGATAATGATTGATTGGAATTTTTAATCAATTTTGTCTTCAGAATTATAGAGAAAAAAGAGCTATCCAAATGGACTGTCAATAATACAAAAGGATGATGAAATTCAACATGTACATTTCTTCGGTTTCCATTGTCTGTACTTACTTGTATCGCGATTGGGAGAAAGCACCCTGGCTGGCCGATCCATACTTCATTAAAGAAGAAAGAAGGGAAAAATCATAATTTTTACTTTTCCATTGCAAAGATGTAATAAGCATCTCATGTGGTTTGTGAAAGTACACGGGTATACTATATTTCCAATTATGCCGGATTATCATAAATTAGCTTATTTGTCTTTTATTGCTTTAGAAACAAATATTCGGCATCTCGGAATTGCTTTTGTTATAATATTTTATAATATAAAATACATATTAGAAATATCGACATACCTTAGATATTATGGATGACAATTTACTTCTAGTGCATTGATTTTCAGCCAAACGGGAGACGAAGCGTGATGCAGATAACATTGTGGATTGCAATTATTCGATTCTCTTGCAAAGAAAATTTGAATTACGATTTTTTATAATTTAATTTTGCTTCAACTCAGTAGCGGGTTATGGCTATAAAGTGTCTTAAAATTCTTAAACTTGATTCACGTGTGTGCGGTAGAATTGTGTAATGGCGTTTTGTCTTGATGTATGATTCTAATAATACGGAGAAAAGAAATGGGTGCGTTCAATGATGAAATTGAAATGTTATTAGCGAAAAATCTAGAATTTTCAAGACATTTTAAATTTGTTCTTCCTTCATATTTTATTCGAGTATTGTCATTTTTTATTGAATATTATTTATTCAGTAAAAATGAGTTGATATTAATAAATACATATGCATAGATTTTATAATTTGGATAATATAAAACTGCTTTACATGTGCTTTGTTTCAAGAGCTGTCATTTTTGACAGTATTCATCGTATATGCAATATAATTTTCCACCCATGTCTCACATTGAAAAGAGTGAAAGTTTTTTTTCCTAGAGATAACAAATAGAGAAACCAAAAATAGAGTGTAAAAAATATGTCATATGAACGTTGGATGAATTACATTCGAAATGCAGAAAAAACATTATTTTGTTCAGGGAAAATTCGAAAATTCCACTACAAATTCAACGATGATAAAGAAATGATAGAAGAATATAATATAGAGACAGGTATTTTGATGCGACGTGCATGGAAGAAGAAACAAAATATTATGGGACTGCACACGGAATTCAATGAGTTGAATGGATCTTTTTTTGACTGGGACATTGAGCTAGGTGAAATAATTCGACCCACGTTTGATTCGAATTTCCTTGTAAAGGAAACAGATATAATGGTAGTTCTTGAACGTTTTGAACAAAATTCTTGAGAAATCTTTCATTTAAAGAATGTAAATATCTTTTTCTAACAGCCGATTCTAACAAAGAGAATAACACGGCATAATATTGAATGGCGAATACGAAACCTATCGTATCCCATAGAAACTTATTTGATTAAAGTTGACAATGCTAAGCGGTCCATAGTAATTCGCACCACGAATAAGAAATACTTCAAGGAGATTCACGTTCCTGAGCTGAGTCGTTGTAATCTTCTACCACAACTAGATGCAATGTCAATAATACATCAACATAACACTTTAATCATTACTGTATGTATGTTTGTCAGCAAAGTTCTGAATTTACAGTTTTATTTCGACTCACCAATAGTGAGTTATTTTGAAAAATAAAAACTATTCTATGTACAATTTTCTTTATATTCGCAGTATGAAAAACCAATTATGGTTCGTCAGATGGAACAGGAAACTTTGCAAATGTTAAATGACCTCGGAACCGGAGAAAAAACTAAAGAAGGCTAACCAGCAATTTTTCGAGAGAAAAGATGTTTATGTGTTATCTTACGCCTTAACAATTTAATTCTATAATTTTCATAGTGAATAAAACGTCCGAATAAATGTTACCTCTGATTTTTTTTATTTTAATAAGCAATATTAAATAATACATGACTATAATATACTTTAACTTTCTTTCCATTGTCTTCAGACAGACAACAGGGATGTGAACTACAATTCAGATTTGTCTTCAGCTGTCGATGTTTGGTCAATGGAATGAAGCCAATTAAAAATCATGTAATTTCGATCATATTTCGAAAGAGGTCTCCCTCGTTCTTTTTCTATGTCCTGGATGGTCAAGTTTCGGCCCATACTTGTAGCGCCAATTAGCTTATATTTACTTTTCTGAGTTGTTGTACTCAATTTGATCAAAGTATCGTCAGGCTGTGCTTGGGTTGGTTTATCCAGGTATTGCTCAGGTATAATTAACTGTACAGTTTCCACAGGGCCGAGACCTTCAGATACTGTAATCGTAGTTGTTGCCATAGTAGCCAATTGATCTAAATTGAATTCGCTCTGAGATAGACGTTCAATTGCACGATGTGTTGTTAATAGGCGGTTTCGAATGTAACTCTCCCTAATGTTTTTATTAACTGATGATGGTTGGGATATACTAGCAATTTGACTGTGTCCAAATAAGTTTGATGGACTGAGTTGTTGTTGCGATGAATTCATACTTAAACTACTGGTACAATGACCATGGGGACTTGGGAGCTGCGATGTGGAAGTATCCAATTCGCCAACCGCAACCCAAGTGGAACAAGACCGCGATAAACGAGCACTATCCTTCATATAACCATATCGTAGAAAAGAATTCAAAGCAAGCTCTGAGACAGTGTGGCGCAATGAAACAATTCTATGACCAGTACGACTATTAACTGTTTCAAGTGTTTTGTTGGTAATGTCGTTTGTGCTAAAACTCCTTTGAATCCCCAATAGCGTAGAAAGTTTGCCACAACTCCGGAACAAATCATTTCTTTCGGATAAAAAAGCTGGTCTGCAACACAATAACATCAATATACTATAATAAATAAACTATTTTTCAGGGTACTTACCTTTGGACATCCAACGCATTCGGGATTGGGCTTGTCTCGCGGCTCAATTTATTCAACCTTTGTTTACTACTATTCAGTCGATGCCCAATATTCAAAAAATTAGGATCAACTAATCCTGATGACACAGTCAATAAAGATAAATCTGAATGGTTTGACATCGTTTCAATAATCGTTGTTTCCACACACACCAATTAATCATCTTTATTACAAAATTTAAGAAATTGGTTACTGAACATTATCATTCTGAACATTGAAAGAATAGGAATTTTTTTCTGCATTGGTGGTTTTTATATTTCGACACTTAGCTTTTATTTAGAGAGAAACCAATTAAATTGAAACTGAATTAACAGTGAGATGACAAGCGCACTTACATGCTATTCGATATACTAGATTTATGGGAGGACCAAGAGAAAACGGCGCACACATAACATACACATCTATTTCGTCCTATATCGTCACACAAACACACATATACATACATACAAGAACACACAAATACACTTACTAGAAGACTACGTATGCATTTTTTGGAATCATATATATATATGTATATATATATATCATCATATATATATATATATATCATCATATGGTACATTGTTAGTCCTGACAAATGTTAACGAAATCTAGTCCATTGAAAAAAAATTAATAAGACAACTGAAAACAGAAATTTGAAACCATAACAACTTTTTTTTATTGAATTGAATCAAAATAATGCGATATTTGATGGTGATAGGTGAGTCTCGTGGTATGTCTTCAAAATCCTTCTTGCTCAAAGTAACAATTATCAATTCGTTGTTGGTTTTTGTGTCGGTGCCATGCAGTTACCATCGGGATATTTTAACTTAAAACGATTAATTAAGTCCGGGTCCTGCAAACGTATGCCGTCCAACTGATTTCCAAGAGTTATCCTAATGTAATAAAATGTAAATATATAAAAGAATATTTATATCAAATAAACCACCTCTGGCGAAGAAACGCTGTATGGTGCAGAATAATAATAATAATAATAGTTTGGTTTATTAAAGCTCTTTGTATTCATATACATATATAGTCAGAAGTTTGGGTACGATTGAAAAAGTCGTATTTTTCTGGGGAGAAATGCATATGTTTTGGTTCCAGTTCGTTAATCTTACCAAAACAAATCATTGTAGACTTTCCATTGTGGATAAAATCACTAATTTGAAAAATTTGGTCAAAAGTTGTAAATTTCTTTCTATGAAAATCATGTGACTTCCCAACCGTTCTTCAACTACATTTAAAACACATGTGCTTTAATTTTCTTCAAAATTGCTCAAAATGACTCGTATACACAATATTAAGTATCTAGCACAAGTGGATTTATCCAAATTAAATAAGAGTTGTGTTTGTTGCGGAAAGGAAATATACGATTTTCGATTTTGGTCAATATTTCCTTAGAATTTTATCATTTTTCAGGGGCCTATTTTATCTAAGTGCTTGTAATTCTAAAACTTTCTTATTGAACGAAGTTTTCATGCAAGAGTTTTTGTTTCTAAATATTCATGGAATGGTTTAACTAATTTTGGTATCTAGATAGAGAAATAGTTTTGCAAATCGAATAAATTTTTTTTAGATTAGTTCTTCTGTTAGTGAAAAATAATTTCAGCAAGATGAAAGGTCAACAATTCATTTAAAATGAAGTTCTCCAACGAAAATGTGGAAATACGTCTATTTTGACCAAGGCAGGACCTAAGAAATTGCAAGAAAATGGTCAGAAAATTCCTTCTGGGCTATATTTCTTGCCGTAAAAATCATTTGCATCCAGAAATACAACCAGGTGAATATATTTCAAGCGAATTAACTCAAAAAAGTAGAAAATCCGTGATTTAAAGATTAAAAACAATAACATTCGTAATCCCGAATTTTGGATTTTTTTTTCAATTTTCTTGAAATAAAGGCAATTTTCTTAGTGCAAAATCGGTCATTTTAGTCGAAATTTCGACAATTTTGTATGGAAGGCATCCGTAAATTGATTTCGATTGGTTTCAAACTTTCTTAGGTTTCATTTTGTGGAGAAAAAATAAGATTCTGAAAGTTTCAAGTTGATCGCATTTGCACAAGTGTGATTTTTGGTCCTCAATTTTTCCGACGAAAATTTCAACAAAAATTGAGGACCAAAAACTAAACTAATGCGATTCACCTGAAAATTTCAGAATCTTATTTTTTATCTCCAAAGAATGAAACCTCAGTAAGTTTGAAGCCAATTGAAGTCGATTTACGAATACCTCCCATACCAAATTGTCGAAAGATCCGTAATTTCAATCAAAATTTCGTCAATTTTGTATGGGAGGTATCCGTACATCGATTACAATTATCTTCAAACTTTCAGAGTATTATTTTTTCTCCAAAAAATGAAACCAATCGGAATCGATTTACGGGTACCTCCCATACATAATTGTTATTTTTGAAGGATTTCTTGGGTCAAGTCGAAAATGGACAATTTTTAAACTTAAACTAAGTTTATTGGATAAAAAAACTTTTGGCACTTCCAGATTTTGATTATCTCAATTACTTTCTGAGTTATCGTGTTAACACACTGGTTCGACGACAACGACGGCACACGACCGGAAAAGTGTCTCAAAAATGTGTTTTCTACGCGTTTCATGAGTTTTTATGATGATTTAAACCAATTTTGTGAAAAATTCTTTCGGGACCAATTCCTATACTTTCCCTTAACACGGTGTGTATGGGAAAGTAAAAGTAGAAAATGAAGTTCAAAAAAACGTGATTTTTGAAGAAATAGAAGGTTCCGTTGTTTAAGGACCCCCATTATTTTTACGCACTAATACTAGTTTTCATTGACGTAAATTTCGGAAAATGCATATCTGAGGCTCCCTCGAATGAAATACCACAATTTTTTGAATAGAATTTCAAGAAATTTCGATTTGTGACCAAAATCATGAGAAAGTGAGGGTTCTATGTTCATAAACCCGAAAAATGCATTTGTACAAAATTGTAATTTTTTGGAAAATTTTCTTAGGTCAAATTGAATTTGGCTTATCTTCGAACTTAAACTAAGTTTTTCATCTTTGGATGCATGATTAAAATGATGTTGTAAAATGTTCTAGTGACACATGACACACATTATTCCCAATATATAGAACGGTAGCCCTGAAACTTTCCGGCAGTTCAAAAAATCTCTTATTTTAATCTCTGGTGTACGGAAAAGTAAAAATTCGAACGTATGGCAGGTAGCGCATTGAAATTGTTGAATATATATATATTAAATAAAACTTATGGCTCAATGTCTTCCGAATGTGTATGAACGCGTTCAAACCGCAAAATTTGACAATATTGACCGCAAAACTAGCGGTTAGTTCAAATTCTTCATATAAAATTACGATCAATAATGCGTTCATAGTTTAAGCACAACATATCTCGTATATTGGAAGTTTTTGACCGCGGTCAAGCATTTAGATAAAATAGACCCAAGGAAAAATTTATTTCTACTGAAACCTCAAAAATATTCTTGACAAATTGTTATAAATTCACCTGTGGCAGATAATTTGAACTGTGTACTAGCCATCTTGAACCATTTTCGAAAAAACCACATACATAATTCGGAAATATAGTAGAAGAATGACGAAAAGTCAAACGATTTTTGTGGAGAAAAATGAGCTCCAAATTTACTATTTTTATCCAAATTTTTGAAACTGAATTATTAATACTAACACTGCGGTTTCTTGACAGTTCCCATATAAAATAGCTCCGAACCGCCAACTGGTGCTAGCAAGTGAACTACAAGCACTTTATACATACTTTTTCACACTTCTGTTGACTAATTTGACTTTTTTTTGTAGTACACTTGCAAACACCAGTTGGCGACAACGATGAGAAGGCACAGCTTTGATTAATACCCAGACTTTTGACGGGGACATATATGACATATAAAATGAGAGAACAACTTATCATTTCTTTATCCATAATTGAGAGGGGAAAAAACTTAAAGCAAAAAAGAGACAAATAAAGTTGCGAGCAAAAGTGATACAACTCAGCATTGAGTGAAAACGACGTTTTTGCATTTTTTTCACTACTCGAAATGGAGAACGATTAGGTGTCTTCGGCTTATTTCTAGTTCTTTATATTTTCTACAATAATGCCGAAGACACCTAGTCGCTATCTCTTTCCAGTAGCGAGAAAAATGCAAAAAATGTAAATTCCACTCAATGCTAACTCAGCATTGCTGAGTTGAATCACTTTTGCTCGCAACTTTATTTGTCTCCTTTTTGCCCTAAGTTTTTTGTTTTTTTTTCCGTCTCAGTTATGGGTAAAGAGTCCATAAGTTCTTATTTTATTCTATGGGTGTCACAGAGACTGAAATAACCGGATCTTCTCCGGTTTTCGGATCTTCTGAACGGAAAAATGCTGCTCTAGTTTTAAATTACGGATCCTAAGAAATTTCAAATGAAACAAAATTTATGCCCAAAGCACGCATACAAAATACTCTTTGATAGAAAATATTACAATAAATTAGGGAAAAATTGAATTTCATTGCACATCATATGGAAATATTAGGCTCGCTTCGCTCGCCATACAAACATTAAAATTGTTAGTCAAGATATGGGAAATATCAAATTCGTTATCGCAAAAACTGTTCACTTTTTCGAATTTTTTGTGTACACCTGCTTTCTGAAGTTCGTCAGCTTTTCAATAAATTTTAAAAAAATTTAATCGTTACTTGAAACAGTTCTGCGTTCACATAATAAATTCTCACTTCGGTTGGAAATCGAAGTTGAATGATTGAATATCCTAAAACACCGATTGTGAAGAAATCGTGGCGCTAGCATGCACTAATGTGCTGAGACGGCATTCATATTGAAAAAATAATTCCCAATATCGGCAATAAAATTTTGGATGAATCAATGGGGAATATCAAACATTTCATTTTGTTTTTTTTTTCGTTAAACAAATTGAATCTTTCAAATACAATGAAACTCATCTATAATTCAGAGTTTCGTTTTGTTTTTTAGATTGTAATCGGAATTTCGGATCTTCTAAAAATTTCTTATTTCAGTCTCTGGGGTGTCATATATATATATAAAACTGTATAACGGTATAAACTGGCGTTACAAAAGTTACAGACCAAACTATGATTCTTCCACGATTTTTCATACAAAAAATGCTATAAAGTTTAGTTTGGTCTGTAACTTTTCGAATTTGTTAAGAAATTTGAAATCTATTAAATGGTTATGTGGAAAAAATGTATTTCAATTAAATACGACCGGTGGAGTGAATTTTGTCAAACAAATGATAAAGTACAGATAAACCTTAGCACTAGCAATCTGTGCCATTTTTCATAAGGCGTCTCCACTCGCATTGAGTTTGTATTGTGAATGTTAAGGTGCGTGCAACGCCCTTCAATGTAAAAAACAATACAAGTGGAGATGATACACGGGATTTATCTGTACTTTTCCGATTTTTCGAAAAATTTTGTCATTTTTTGTATGGAAGGTCTTAATTATTTTTCCCGCAGTTTTTGGGCAATTCCATCAATAAATGATATCCATTACCGAAAATAATGAAATTGATAGTCTAGTCCATTTATAAAAACTTCAAATATTCTCATAAACATCATTTCATGAATATTTTTTTGTAAAATAACAGAATTAATGGGAAAAACCTGAAATTTCAATGCCGGTCATAATTAAATTTCCATGACTGTATGTTCTTACCAGTTTGGCTGGACGTTGTGAGGTCGACCGAACAATTCAATTTTCCTTGTCCCAGGGCTAAGTCGTTCTATTATACCGTATATCTCATCTGGCTTATGGCTTGTAGCACGCACTTCAGCCACAATAACATCGCAGTCGAGTCCTCGATTTAAATTTTTTGGATTGCCTTTTGTTCCAACAAGACAATGCTCTTTTCCATGATTTAGCCAATGTCCTGTTCTTCCCGTCCGTATAATACGCTGTAACTGATTGGTTTTAACCCAAATGAGTTCATCAAAGCGTTCGTAGCCCCATAGCTTGAGGCATTCTCTGCCAAGTTCCATCGCACGTCCTGTTACCCATAAAAAGATTAGACCATCATCTTGTAGTGCAGGAACTCCCAACTGTCTCATCTCATCATCTGACATAGTTCCATATGGTAGTTCCATGTGTATGTCCCATGGAGGGTCCGCCATTATGACAGCGAATTTACCCAAAACTGTCATATCTAGAAAACGTAAATCGCATTGAATCCACTGGGCCGGATGTAACGCAGTGTTTGGGTCGACCGTTCTCTTTTGCATGGACACCAGAGACCGATCAGATTTATCGCTTTCATCAGACTTGGAAATACTGCTGTTGCAACTGCCGGTTTGCGAATCGACTTCATAATGCACATACTTGCAAGTGTCCATATGAAAACATGTATTAAGAAAGGAACAGTCTCCTAATGTTTCATCGGTGTGAGATTGAATTATTTTTTTAAAATGTAATTTGTTGCACCGATGATCCGAAATTGTATTGTTATTTCCGGTTGTGATTAAATTTGGGCCTTCATGTGAATTTAATGGAGATTGTGGGGTCCCAATCACATATTTTTTCGCAGAAGTCTTTTTTTCGTGGTCTAATTCCAAATTCCCCTCCTCGCTGTCATTTTCAGTATTATTATTCTCCGGCGATGATTGTTGTCGCTCACATTCTGTTCTTGTACCATGCGGACAAAATTCCATAACTTGAGCTCCGCCTTCTGATTTAAACATTTCCACTAAGGATCGTTCTTTAGCTGTAGGCTTTGACAATAGCTCCAAAATTTCCTCTCCCACTTGTTTGTTTTGCTTCTCTCGCGTTGAAGGCATGGATAGAAGCGACTGTTGAAAAAAAGACTGCGATAAGCATCATTGTTCGTTATACTGATCAAAAGATTTTTTGATACCATTATATCATTGTCAACAGTTGCGATTGTCAATTCCTTGCATCCTGTCATTTTTCTATCGATGTTGTAAATGTTATTTCTTAATGACTTACTGTTACTGGAATCCTCACCATCAAATTCACCTAACACATTATGTGTATGTTTTTATTTTGTCATTTTTTATCCGAATACAGTGTGTTTGCGAATTGCATGCCAACATTTTACCATATATTCTGGGGTCAGGATCTATCTTAAACGTGAGAAGCTTTTTTCCGAATTCGGCCTATATACTTTACGTCAGGCATAGCCTTCAAACTCGCATATCGTATTTAAATGTTATTCTTTTTCGATTTTGATAAAAAAACAATATCCCGATGATGCAATATTTTGAGAAAATTCATTATTTTCAAACAATTTGGATGAGAAAATGAATATAAAACACATCTGGTGAAGAAAACCATCTCTGGGGCTGAATAATAATAATTTTGTGTACTTTCCAGTGGAGGTCAATTTTAACTCCGAAACTTCTTTCATTGTTTCTGTATCGGATAGCATTTCGAATAAACCAAAGCAAATATTTATGGAGTTGTAACGAATAGTTTTCGGTTTGAGCGAGGGATATTTGATCATAGCAATACTTGGTTTAAATATTGGCACTCAATCCGCAAACACCCTGCACATATTTACATTTACGTTTCAGGCATCCTTCCATCAATTCATTTGCATCAGCGTCTTCATGCAACTCACCATAAAGTGACTGAATACGTGAATGATCTACTAAATACACTTCATAGCCACATTTATTCAAGATGAAAGTCTTCTTAATGCTGTACAGTAAATACGTATTTAAAATGCAAATGTAAATGATTAATATTGAATATTTTACTGAAGAGAAATATCGATTTTTACCTTATGTAAGATTGGGTGGCAAACTTTTGCAAAAAATAACTGAGAGTATTCATTGAAACGGGTTTAAAACGGCTGGAACTTAGTTTCTCTATTAACTGTATGGAATTTATGGGTAATGATAAAGCGCTATCCGACAGAATTTGTAGAAGTAATCGCTCGATTTCTGGATCGGATTCTGTAATAAAATAATCAATTATTATTAAATAAACATAAATAAATTTAATTTTAATAAGTGTAACTTATTAATAATAAGTTACACCAATTGTGCATGAAATTAAAAAGTCTCCTAACCATTGTCAATAGTAGTGAATATTTCATTTGGCTGAGTCTTTGTTTCTGTGTCAGTTTTTGAAGCTGATGTGACTGAAGGTGATGGTGTTGGCAAAACAGTACTATTACCACTTGAGCTTCCCAATATGTCTTGTCTTTCCTTTTTGCGTTTCTCCAAACGTTCCCGTAAACTATTTCGTTTACTTTTTATCGCTTGGATTTCATCCCAAGCATCCGACATTTTTCATGCACAAACACGCTAAAAAAATGAAAAATCTTCTTAAAATGGAATGTAGATTTGTATGAAAACTTTGACTATTGCGATTTGTATGAAAAAATTGAAATCTAACAATCTCCTTTGTAGCTTTTAGATAAAATAAATTAAAATCTAACAATCAATAGATAATAAAAACATTGACAGTTGGAAATTCTTCAATGGCGCTTGCATCAAATGTCAAACTAAGTATAAATCGTATGAATAATCGAGTTCGTTCAATGTTCAACTCACGTCCACGACAAACATTTTGAGAAAGTACCTGGAACCCGAATACTTGTGCTGCTGGATGGCATTGTCACACTGTTTAATATTTACGCTTGAATATAGACGGAATTCCGGCTAGTATACGCGCTCAGTCGATATTCCTCCAAGTGACTTGAATTCCAGGCGGTTTTTTTTTCGCCTAGATTTTAGGCGAATTTACGTCTGAAATTAGATTTTTATTTGAAGTTTTAGGCGAAATATAGACTGAGCGCGTATACCAGCCAAAATTCCGTCCATATTCGGGCGTAAATTTTAAACTGTGTATTGAAGTTATCAATACCCATGAAAAAAAGTACACCAAGTGTAGAGCTATGTATGCGCCATGTTGACATGGTGTACATCAGGTGTGAGCCTAAATTTGCGCCCAATCCACACCATACACCACCGAATGTGGGATTTCGGGAAATCGGGGAAAGTTCAAACCAGAGAACTTTTTTCCGGGAGTTTTCCAACCAAAAAATGCAAAAATGTCGCCGAAGAAGAATACGCTGCGTATTCTTAACCGATTTTCTTTTGATTTTTTTACTTAAAAAAATTTCGGACGTCCGAAATATATTCGGGCGTCCGAAAATTTTTGGACGTCCGAGAAATTTCAACAAGTTTGGACAAAACCCCTTGTCCGTCCGTCCGTCCGAAAAAATAATTCGGACATTCGGACCGGACGTCCGAAAATTATTTTCGGTTTTCGGACATTTGGACCGGACGTCCGAATTTTTTCAAAAATTTTGTCCGTTGACACCTCTAGTTGCAACGTCCATTCATATTTTCGTACATCCTCACATCTGTATAGAAATAATGATATTATCTGTGATATTTATATGTATTTATTGGAAATTTAGTAACATTGACTGTGATATAGCCATCCTTTGAGTTGGTGATTAACTTTTGACCGGTTATTGCTTTATAATGGAAATTATTTTCTTTTGTCAATATTTTCTTTTGTCAATGTTTTTGAAAAACTCATTGTATTTTTCTGTCTCTCGGTCTCTACTAAATTGTAAATTTTTAACTACCAACAGGGACTTGTTAGATTAGACGTAAAATTTTTCTTCAATATATCACTTCTTTGATAAATTCATTGATAACTTTTGCAGTCATTAGGGCCGCAACTACAATGGTAACGCTTCCACTGGCCTTTCTTTTTGGATATTTAGGTTAGGCTTTTTTGAACCGTTTACATTTCGGCTTCCTACTCATTCCCATGTGTTGGTTAGGTTATTTTGTGTTAAAATGTTCATAGACCAAATCAAGAAGGACTACTATTATAATTATCACACACTAAATTGTATGTACAAACACGAAAAGATCAGGTTTTTCACGACTCTTGGAGTCGTTTTCCTGCAAACAAAGTATTCAGCCAGTTTTTGGCGGTGTAAATAAATAAATAAAATATTGTTTAAAATGATTATGACAGTTCACACCAATTTGCGCCGAGCCTTATATATTTTCGGTGGTGTATGGTGTGGATTGGGCGTAAATCTCGGCTCATACCTGGTGTACACCATCAACATGGCGCATACATCGCTGTACACCTGGTGTAATTTTTTCATGGGTACTGTATTCCCCAAATTAACTTAATTTATTTTTCTAAACAACGAAATCGTTGTTTGAGGTCCTTTTAATGTCATGAAATTGCAATGCACAGACACGAAAGAGAATTTATTAATATGACCGAATTTTTTTCAGAAAGTTCAACTTTTTAATGTAAATATAGAAAAAAAAATTTTAGAAGGTTTCAGAAATTAGAAGATGTTTGTAAATAAGATACTTCTAATTTCTGGAACATCTAGTTTCCGAGATAAATCTTTCTAATGAAATTTTCCCATATATTAAGTAGAAAATGAATTTGCATAAAATCGCTAACAAAATACTTAAAGCCAACATAGATATTCAATACAATCACCAATTTCATGAACACAATACCAGACAAACACAACTGATGCGCAAAATTAAGGCATCCAATAAATGGGGGGAGAAATCAATTATTAATCGATGTATAAATAATTACAACAAAATATCCTCACCGCTTAAGAAAGAAAAAAATATGTTAAAATTTAAGAAAAAACTAAAGAAATTAATCTTAGAAAAACAACTAATAATAAAATGAACACATAGTCTTTAAGAGCCTACATGTATGTAAAAACTTTACATCAAACCTTACCGAGTTTGTGTACTACGCCCAGAGTGGCTTAAACACTGGAGCTCAAGTTGATGTCCTGTACACGGACTTTACGAAAGCCTTTGATAGAGTCGATCACAGCATTTTGATCCAGAAGTTGAAAACATTCAATCTACCTCAAAACTTGCTGGAATGGCTTAAGTCGTACCTCGAAAATCGCATTCAATTTGTCAAGCATGGAGCAAGTGAATCGGATGATTTTACAGCGTCGTCGGGTGTCCCACAGGGGAGCCACCTTGGCCCAACACTGTTCCTGCTGTTTATCAACGACATCGTGGATCAAATGCCCCCAGACATCATGATTTTACTGTTTGCTGATGATATCAAAATAGCCAAAATCATCAAGTCTCAGCAAGATTCGGAGATGCTACAGCAAGCCATCGACAAACTTAAACATTGGTGTGACGTGAATCTGCTGCACCTTAACCTCAAAAAATGTGCAGTGCTATCTATCTACAAGAAACGTCAGCATTTGGAAACAAGCTACACCTATGGCGACCACACCTTCGACAAAGTGACTGAACACAAGGACTTGGGTGTTCTAATTGACAGAAAACTATCATTTGCCAAACACATTGACATGGTCACTTCGAAGGCAACGGCTGCACTTGGCTTTGTCAAGCGCTTTTGCCATGACATCACGGACGTTACCACACTAAAGTCGCTGTATTTTGCATTGGTTCAGTCTCACCTCGATTAATGCGCCATGGTATGGCTTCCATTCCACAAAATCCACAGTGACAAAATCGAATCCGTGCAACGCCAATTCACTATGTACGCTCGTCGAGAATACCCATCCGTGCAAAACCAATACTCAATCACACCGTACGAGCAACGATTGTCAGACTTAAACATGATTAGTCTTCGCCGTCGAAGTGTCAACGCGTCATTGAGTTTTTTCTACGACATCATCAACGGTAACGCTAACTGTCCAACGGTTAGTGACAAAGTCTCATTTAATGATGGGCGTTCATTGAGACACAGCGAGCAATTCAGGGTCAATGACAAGCACATGAAGCTGGTGCGCGAAGCTCCAATTCCTCAAATGTGCAAAATGGCGAACATGGTGCCGGAACTGTTCACAGCAGCGACCTCAAAGAAGAATTTTGCATCATCGGTTCGCAAAATGACGGACACCACTTTTGGATCGCTTTGCAAACTCAAATGACTACCTGGCCGCCTAGTCAATTTTTCATCCAGGTAACCTCATTTTTTGTATGTGTTCTCTACGAGAACACCTTGATACTGCCCACATTAATGATGAAATTTCGATTTTCATGTTGCCGTTTAACCTGATCCATGATCCCAAGCGGACGAATTCCCAATGACAAAGCATACTGCCCGGGTGCCATTTGGTTGCTTCTGATTGCAACAAACATGAGCGGGGCTGTCCCAGGTTTCAACCACCCACGTGGAATTCAACTCATCTCACACGGATCGCACAGCAGAATCAATATTAAAAGACTGACGAATTGTTTTCCATACATTCTTTTATATGTATTGAAAAGATGATACTTATCTGTGATGTTTACACTTATTTATTGTAAATTTTTATTTTTTTGATTTTGTGCTTTGTTGTAGCCATCCACGAGTTGGCGAGTTAATATTCTTATCTTTGAAGTCAATTTTGAATTATTTACCATACGTTTCAAATCATGGTCCATGTCAACTCAATGCACTCTGCAATCAACATGGATCTGCCTTAACCGACGTAAAACTTCTCATCAATTTATCTATCTGATAAATTGAGTGACGACTTTGAGAGTCTCAAAGTCTTAAATTTAACGCGTAACAATTAACGCTTCACATAGCCTTTGTCCCTTTGGAAACGTTTACCAAAGGTTATCCTGGACCGTTTACTATAGACTAATATCAAGCATTTCCATCTTGGTTGTATGACTGTTTTAGTTTTCATGTTCCTACTATTGTGAATACCGCATGATGTACGAAAAGAGCCAGGTTTTTAACGAGGCGAGAACTGATAGTTGTCGAAACCTATTGCTACTAATTGTTTATTATTTTAAATATGTAACAGTCTTGCACTCTTTTCCGGCCAAACCTCAATCAAAACCCACATTATATTCAGCCAGAGCTTGGCGGTGTTTAATAAAATAAATAAAGAATAAATAAATAAATTTGCTGAAATAAATAAATAAATAAAATAAAAAACTAGACAAAAAACACAAAACAGCAGATATCAATTTTAAAAAATCATTACGGAGCGATTCTGAAATTAGTTGGAAGAATGCAAAAAAATCAAATCCAAATCGCTCCAAAATAATTTTTTTAAATTGATATCTGCTGTTTTGTGTTCGCTTTCGTCACGAGGAATTACTTCAAAAGAAGTTTTTTTATTTGATATCAGTTGTTTTGTACCCGAAATTTTTTTTCTCAACAAAACCAACTAACCCTTAACAAACACAAAGTGGTGTGTATTGAGCCAAAGAAAATGAAACATGAAATGTTGTAGGTAAAAACCAGCATTGTCGCCTTTTTGAATAAAGCAAAATCAGCGCGTAGGTGTAAAATCAGACTCATGAGCGTGTGGACTCGAGTTCCAGTCGCACGCCATAGGAAAAACAAATTTTAATTTTTTTTTTCGTTTAATATCGACAGACAGATGAAATTACATTTTGTTTTGATGAAATTACATATCGCTTTTATACTAAGAAACTATCACATGATGAAT